CCTACTTGATTCACATCCATTAGTTCTTGGAATGGTGTGGCTGCCCATTCAACAATACCTAGTGACTCAAATAGAGTAGTTGGTGTTTCTCTTGCTCCTCGAGAGGATTCACCAACTTCATAGGATGAGTTTTGTACAATGAGCCCCAGCGATATAGTAGTTCTATCAGTACTCATATGGGTGAAACGATGACTAGAGATAATGTTGCCTGTTTCTCTAGTCATTGTTCCTGTTCTAGCACCCAGCATGCAGCCAATAACCCCAAATCAATCCCTGCCAGCAGGATTAAAACTTAAATTATGCGGGTTTGGTTGCATACCTTGATTGTTTAATACAGCATTATTAACCCCCGAGATTGGATTTGTATTCATTGGTTGGGTTACTTCTTCCATCTCCTCATCCATTGGGCTTTTTGATCTTCTCCTTCTTGGTGGGTAAAACTCATCATATAGATCTCCTTGTAGTCCCAACCATCTTCCAGGAGACAGCCTGAGAACTGGAACATAATTGCTAATGTGGGTTTGTTCCTCACTCATTCCACTAACATCTTCATCCATGAGTTCCTCTGATCCTGAGACGAATTGCTCAGAGTCACTTTCACTCTCAAATGACATAACATAGCCTCTGTCTCTTTCCCACATCTGTCTCTGCTCCCACAGTGGTATGTCCTCCGGTTCTTCATCCTTAGATTCACTGCCGAGTTCATGTACCTATATCTGTCAGGTAGCCCTTCTATAAAGGCAAGCCAAAAACCCTAACCCACAGTCTTGTAGTATTAAAACAAATCTGGTAGGGAATGTACGACACATGGTATCTTCTAAAATTAATGATTTGGCCATTAAAGAAAGCAGTTTATTGAAGATATAGAAACCCCAATTGAAAAGAGAAGAATTTGAGGTACAAAAATAGAGGATTTGGTTAAATAGATCTTTAAAAGGCTAATTCAATTGACCAACCAGATAATAAAGGTAGTAGATGAAGCTGCTTCGTTTAAGCAAGAGTGTTCGGTGTTTCGGGGAGGGGCCGAGTGGGGAAAATCGGCGACACTGGCGGTGCTGGATGGGCAGCCAACTGGTGTTAAGGTGAGATGGTGGGGAAAGGGGAGGGGGGCGAGTGTTTTTATTTTTGGGTTTTGTTATTATTATTATTTTTTTTTTTTTTTGGATCAATCAGGTCTTAACACTTTTTAAATAACCTGATATAATAGGTCATTAACTTTTGGATAATTTGTCAATTACTACCGCAATTTAATACCACTTTGTAAATTACTACCGCAAATTAAAAAAGTTGTGAATTACTACCACAAAATTTTTTAAGATGTTGCGATTACTACCAAACTCTCATTAAACCCAGCTATGACGTCATTATATCCCTTTAACCCGTGTTTGACCATGGTTAAGGGCTTTAACCAGCCCCCCAAAAAAAAGAAAATGGGTTATGGATATAATGACGTCATGGTTAAGGGCTTTAACCAGCCCCCCAAAAAAAAGAAAATGGGTTATGGATATAATGACGTCATGGTTAAGGGCTTTAACCCATGTTTGACCATGGTTAAGAGTTTTAAACATGGGTTAAAGTGATATAATGGCGTCATAGTTGGGTTTAATGGGATTTTGGTAGTAATCGCAACATCTTAAAAAAATTTGCGGTATTAATTCAAAACTTTTTTAATTTGCGGTAGTAATTTACAAAGTAGTATTAACTTGTGGTAGTAATTGGCAAATTTTCCTTAACTTTTATTGATCGGTTTGGGATTGAAGAAAGTAAACAACTCTCAAAATTGAGATTATTAAAATAAATGGGGTAAAGTTGGGATTATAAATATCAATTTTTTCCATTAAATTAAAACTACCCGATTTAAATTCAACTCGACTTATTACTATATCACTATTTGTGATCGCGATTTAAATTCAATTCAACTAGACCAAAATTCAATTGTCTTGTCACTTACCCAACCATATTCAACTTAAGTCAAATTCAACCTAGACAACCTTGAGATATTGTGCAATCACATGCTCTTCTCTAAATTTTTTCTATGTAGTATTTAAAATAAATTTTACTGTTCTAATCTCCAAACAACATTACAAAGCCATAACAAATTTTACCATTACTAGATAGCTTAATAAGAATTGGAAATTTTGTGTAAAACTGCCCTGAAGATAGGCTAATTTATGCACAACTACCCGTTTTTTTTTTTTTTTTAATTTGATTAGAATTACCCGTAAGTTAACAAACGTTTGTATATCACTGCCCAATAATGTTTTCCATCCAATTAGATGTTAATGGGGCCCACCTTTTCTCTTTCCCACCCAATTAAGAATTATCCGTAAGTTAGCAACTTATTTCAGCGAGAGGAGGTGAATTTTCAGTCTCTAGAACAATTATGTAGTCTTCCATCAACTTAACACACGTGAATTCACCTCCTTCGATGAAATAATTGGCTAAAAATTTTCATTTAAGGCACGCGTCGCACCTAACACCATACTTGGTGGAGTTTTTTAGTTACAGCGTTTAATTTTTTATTTTTTTTTATTTTTTTTTTGAAAGAAAAATGATGCAAAATATTTTAAAAAATGATGCAAAATGTCGTGAAGATGATTTTAGCTTAGAAGGGTATTTATGGTATTTAGGAGGGGTGTATAGTAGTAACTAGAGGTTGCGTTTAGCAATCATGATTTTAAATAGCATGCATGCCCATATGAAAAAATATATACTACCTCTGTTACATTTTATGTGCAATGATTAGACATTGTCTCTCTGCTTTATGTCAAATCGTTACACATAACATGTAACCAAGGTAGTAATTATTGTTAAAATAACATATTTACATAATGATATAATAAGTCACATCAAAATAACATATGTACATAACCTGGAGTTATGGTACTCCATGAGTCCCAAAGAAATTGCGGACAAAGACATGACGCTAATAGCTACTCCGTAATTCTCTCATGATTTAAAGCAGCATCAATAGCTAGATGTGTACAGCATAAAACAATGCCAGCCTATGTCAGAAGTCAAAATGTAACACCTTAACTTATACCCAAGTGTTAAAGAAGGCAGGCTGTTTTTTATTAACCCCTCTTAAAGTATTGTTATTTATGATACTAGTCCGTACTTTACTAAATAAAGCAGCAAAGTCAATAAGCAGATTACACATCAGAAGAACCATCAAACTGGAGAGTGTAAGCAAGCCAACCCTACATCATCACAATACAAACGTACCAACACCTAAGCGGCTAAGCTGCGTCGACAGAGTTAATCTTACACACTAGGAGCTTCAAAAAGAAATATTACACCTGCGTCAAATCGTTACAGATAACATGTAACGGAGTTAATCTAGTAATATTACACCTACTTTACCGTGTAATCAAGCATATATCTAGATTCTAATGCTCCAAACGTTAACAACAAGCAACAGCCTCTGAGATTTGAATTCAGCATATACCACAGATAAGTTCCAGACTTCAGCAACATGATTTCTCTAGCCTGAAGAGTGAAGAATTTTTCCTAAAGCGATAGCTAAATTTAATTTACTCCAGCACTCTCCCTAGTCGAAGTGAAAGATTATGTCCCAAACAAAGATGGAACGGACTTCCAGTTGATTAGTTCAATTCCAGCAAACGCAGATCTAAAGCACAGAATTTTGTAATAATTAAATTACAGATAAGGTTATTTAAAACACGGGTAGATTGTTAGTTTATTACCAAAAAATCATGCATAAGTTTTCAAATATAGTAACGTGTTTACTAGACCAACAACACAAGGTTTTTGGGTGCCTATCATCACTGAATACATCGAAAATACACATCTTTAGATGAATAGCAACCAAAAATAGGGTTAATACAGAATGTCAAGAAAATCCAAACAGGTATCAATTACAGAAGTTCAATTCAGCTTTAATTCAGAAAAAGGGGCAAGCGAAATACAACCACAGAGAAGGGTTAGACATTCCCAGGAGTAAAACTTGGCTCAATTTAAAACATTTCTGAAGAAAATTGGCAAGAATTGTCCAGTGCAAGAAAAAAGTACTAAGCCAAACCAACAAGTAAATGGATTCCAAGGCATAAATTCCTCTCCCACATATATAAGAAAGCATGTTACTTATGATTGTTGACAATTTTCTCAACTAACCAGGCAAGAAACAAGGGTTCTAACCTAACACTGCATTGCAACGCGTTCCAAAACTTCAAAATCTCAGGAAAACAGTGACAATACATTAATCTCATACCAAGCTCTGTATTTTGGTCACTACCACTAATTCCACCATGTTTACACACACGTAATAAATCCTCAAAATCACAAGAAAATCACTTGTATTATAACCTTAGTGAACAGAACAAATCTAAATTTTGACTTGATTTCTAAAGACTTGAACACTTTGTTTGGATAGCAATCTTAGTGGGAAGGGAGGGGGAGGAAGGAAAGGGAAGGGGGAGGAAATGAAGGGTAGGAAAACGTGAGCTTGCAATTTCCTTCCAAATCGTTCAAATGTATTGGTAAGATTTGGTATATTAAAAGAAGAAAAGTGGATTCCTCAAGTCCATTCCTTTTCCCCTCCCCAAATCATATCCAAACAAGAAAGGATGCACCCCTCACTTTCTCTCCCTTCCCATTCCCTCCAAATAACTCTATCTAAGCTCACTAATAAAGTTAAAACCCGACAGATTCTCAGCACTTCAAATTCAAGTACATAGTCCAAGTTTCTGCAGCCACTAGGTATTGTTGTTTTGACAAAATAAGCAAGACAGTGTAAATACAGAGCCAAATAAGCACAGAATAATCAGCAAGACCAACAGCAAGAAACAATTACAGCTAAAAACTCAAAAGCTTTCTACCAAGAGCTTAGCAAAAACTACAAAAGAAACTAAATAACTTCTGATAAACAGCAGCTGCTATTCAAGTTACGCTACACATTTAGCCTAGGACAAGATATAAAATAACAGAACGCTAACCTTAAACTTAGGGTGTTTGAGCATTTTAGTGATGAAAACATGAAGTATGACAAAGCAAACATGAGAATTATATATGTAATTTACAATATGATTACATTATGTCGTGCAACAGCCATATTTCACTGGAAAAAACCTGTGATCATAGTTTTTTTTTTTTTTAACATTAACAGATACAGCAAAAAGGCAAAAAAAAGTAAAGAAAAAGAAAAGAAAAAAAAAAAAAGCATGGTATCAAGCCTGACCCAACAGGTACAAAGGGGATCGAACAAGCCCTTTTGTGAGAGAAAAGGGCATTACCTACTATACAGGTGAGAGCTCTATGAACTTTTGCGTCTCATATGGTTGAGAACACCAGGTGTTCCTTCAAACAAATCAGACAAATAGCCATCTAAATCCTCAGCTGTGTATTTAATGTACTTCCAAGCATGTCTTGTATTCTCTAATTGGGGACCAAACCTCCCCAAAAACGAACGGTATGCAGGTATAACCTTCTCGGAAATAGATATTCGAAGCTCAGTCCTAAGTTGGGGATCAGGGACCTTCCAAGCAGTCTGAGTCCTATATATATCTTCAAAACAAGCATTGAAGTTTTTAAACCTTTCCTTTAAAGCCATTTTGAAGGCACTGCTTGATCCACTCCCGATTCCTTCATCCCTCAAACAAGCCAAGACCTTGCTCCAAGAAGCTCTAAGGTAATTAGTAGCATATTTTCGAATGATCCCACGACGCCTCTTCACCCAATCGTCTCCTAAAAGCTTGCCAAGCTCAGAGTCTTTCACCTTCTGTAATATGTAGAGTTTATTATTCAAAAGAAATATATACTGCATCGCACTATCATCATAAAACTTTGCCTTCTCCTCAAGGTTCGATTCCAATGAACTTATCAACGATGTCAAACGATGCCCAAGAGGCGACATTTCCCTAACTTCATCCCCATCGGACCTATTCTGTGATTGACTTGCTTCTTCCTCATTTACATCATGTTCCAAAAGCTTATTCAAGGTAGCACTATAATCAACAAGCAATTTAACATAATTCATTACATATCGAGCAAGCGGATGAATCTCACCTCCCTGAACAAGCTTCCTCGAAACTTCACCCTTAACAGCACTCTCAAACTCAATAAACGTTCCCCTAGCTGCCTCACCCAACCCATCCAAAACCCCTCTAGCCTCGGCGCAAACAAACTCCCCGGATTCATCACAAAACAACGCCCTCAAGTAACGCAATGTATCATCCAAAGCTTCATACATATCGAGAATTCGAAACAACTTCTCAGGGGATCTCTTCCCAATCGCAACAGCCTCCCCAAAATTCAACAACTGCAACACACACCCTTTCGCAGTCTCAACAAAACAAACCTCCTTAATCAAATCCGAATCGGCCCCGTCGAATATCAACTCACAAAGATGCTTCTCCCCAGTAAGAAGAACCCTAACAAAGATCTTAACAGATTGAACCCATTTCTTCATCTTCTCATCCAAAGCACTCCACTCAATCCTCTGAACTTCTTCAATACTCAATCTCTCAACCCCTAAAACCCCTAAATGTTCTTCTAATGCATCCCTTCTTACACTGCTATAAACCTGATAACATTCCTTCTCATACCCTGCTCGAATCATACGATCAGCGATCTCACGAAGGTCCGAAATCACGTCTGGATGAATCAAATCGACCGAAACATCACCCGCCAAACTACCCCCTCTTTCATGAAAAGGGTGATTGAAATTACCAAATTCCTCGTCGATTATATCGCCGTCGTGCGAAGCGAACGACAGCGTAACCCGACGATGAATCGAACCGTATAGCCTATCAGCATCCAAAGGAACCGCGCTCCTCGATAGAACCCTCCGAAGCTCGTCTTCAAGCTTCGACATCGCCGATTGAACTGCCGATTCAGCGCGATCCATGAAATTAGGGTTTTCCTGAACCGTAAGATCTGCAAACAAATCCAATACTTCGTCAACAGCAGCGAGAAATTCGCAGCAATCATCTGGGGAATCGTTGAAGGGGTTTTCATGGCGAAGAATGACTTTTTCAGCGCAATCAAGGCGAGAGATCTCGGGTGAGATGGAATTGGAATTCACGGCTGAAGAACTTCCGGCGGCACCACCACCATCTCCGCAGCCGCCGCCGCCGATGAGGTCGGAGATGTTGGAGAGACGATTGTCGAAGGTGGAGAGGATGAGAAGCATATCGTCAGTGACATCTTTGGAGGTTCGAAGACTCTTGACTATGTGTTGAGCTGTTGCAAGAACCCTATCTTCTCCCTCAACCGTCGTCGCCATTGTTAGGGTTTTCAAATGAATTGGTGTTTTTGTTCAGACAAGGAGGAAAATTGGGGGAATTTTGGGGAGGAGAGAGAAAAAATGGGGATTTTTAAATGAGATGTTTTAGAGTAAAAGAGATGATGTAAGAAAATGGTAATAAGGGTTTGTTGGTTGTGTTCTTACATTGTTTTGTCCTATAGAGTGTGTATGATACTCAATTTGGTAATCAACAACTAAATTAAGTTGGATTATTTAGGTTTGAAAATTAGGGTGATTAATCAAAATTCACCCTTACATTTCAAAGTTTCAAATTCAACTTGGGACTATATTCACACCATTCCATCTATACTCCTTGTATATATTATTATAAAGGGTTGTTTAATGGGGTATTCACCAAATGTTGTTATATATATATATATATATATATATATATATATATATATATATATATATATATATATATATATATATATATACTAGTTGTTGGTGCGCGCGTTGCCCCCCCCCCCAACGTCATGCTATGAATGATGGTGCATGTGTCCGAATGTTGTTAACCTGCGGAGTGGTGATATCGATAAGGGTTGTGGAGAGAGCAATATATTGTAGTTTGGTGATATCTTTATGGAGTTCGAAGGAGGGCAAAGTAGCTACCATTTTGATTTTAAAAATGTAGTAGTATATCCTAGTCGTGTTGAACATAAGGGTTGTGGAGAGAGCAATATAATGTAGTTCGGTGATATCTTTATGGAGTCCGAAGGAGGGCAAAGTAGTTACCAATCAATTTGATTTTTTAAATGCAGTAGTATATCCTAGTCGTGTTGAACAGTTGTACCTATTTTAAAGTATAGTGATATGATTCATGTGTGTACAAGATTACATTGGGTATAGCAATCATCGACATGACATGATGATATAGAGATTATTCAATTTATAGATATGTTTCAGTTTGGAAGATTTCAAAGTATACAAGGATTACATTATTGGTAAGCGCAAAGATTCTACTGGGAATTGTCTTATATTACTCCAAATCAATGTTGAAGATGGATATTAATGTTATTTTATGTTGAAAAGTGGGGAAAAGAATCGTAAATATGTAACACATGTATTGTAATATGAGCCAGCTCTTACAGGATAGGTGTTAATGTGTGCGTTTACTATTGGGGGTGTACGGTTACTCATTTAATGCTATTATATACTTAGTCTTTTCGTATTTTATGGTGGATATATAACATGTTCATTGTGAATGCAATACGTTTTCTCCAAAACCATCGTATGCGTTTGTGGTTACCTGATCCGATATCTATTCAATTGTTATGGCTATGTCTGCATTAACATTTACCATCCGATTTAAAGACAAAAATAAGGATAAACTGGTAAGCCTTTTTAAAAAATTATTTGAAGCGTAGGATCATATTTTTCATTTGAATTTTAACTATTGCAATTTGTACTGCTTTGCAGATTCTTTATAATATAAGAAATTTTGACAATTTGAATTGGGTTGGTTTAAAAATGGTTTTATGTTCTGTTTCGATACAAGTTGGTATATAAAAGAGATTTCAGATGACTGTTATTGATCTCATTAAATATAGAATTGGCATAAACCGTGTTCTTACTGTTCCTTAGGGTATGTTATTTGGTGATGAGAATAGGATCTGATTGCTTTGTAAGAGGTTTGTTGGGATTTATTACAATGCATAGATTTCTAATGTTGTTGCATGTATATTTGTAATTTGTGCACTTGTTTTAATCTGAGACTGTTTATGTGTGTATATGTCACAGCGTGTCCCTGACCGTTTGGAAGAAGTGTTAGCAGATGGATTTCTAAATGTTGAATTGTTGCTAGATGGTAGTGATGATTCCTGGTTTGTTACTTTGCTGCATGAAGAATCTGACAGTGGTTGGAAGATGTGTCTTGATTTTGGGTGGTCAGATTTTGTGGATGATAATTCATTGAACATTGGTGATATTCTAATGTTTGGTTACAAAGGTTCTAATTTGTTCAATGTGAGGATTTTTTACTGCACTGGATGTCCACAGGGTATTGGATTAGGACAATTAAATCACGATAGAGAACTTGGCAAGAAGCGTGGTCGTAAGCCAATTCTTGAAGGCGGCTTAGATAAAATGGTTGTAAAAAATGCTATGCTTGATCAAATTGCAGATGCCTGTGGTAAGGCGTGTTTCAAGGCTCCTTTTACTAAGAAGTATTTTGATCAAGCGGTTATTGTAAGTATTGTGATCAACTACTTGCTGTTTTATTTATATTTTTTGTGATTTTATTTGTTGGAGCTATGTTGCTCATAATGCTTTGTTTATGTGTTTGGCAGAACGTTCCTTTGTCATTTGCAAAATAACACTTTGTGGGGTTTCCTCCAACAGATGTAATCCTGCAGTGTTTTAATTCACAGTTTCCTATTCAGTTGAAGATTGTGGCAAAGAAGAACATAATCATTCAATGTGCTTTGAAGAATGGAGCTAGGAAATTCATTGAACATTATAATGTTCAAGCTAAGTGGATGATGCTGGGCTTTTCAAGTATAGAGAAGGTCATCCTATAATATTTGATGTGAATTTAGTTTGATTGGGACATGTTTTTGAATAAATGTATTCAATTGAACTATGTCATTGCAAGGTTAATTATGTTTATCAGTCTTAGTAACTTAGTTTCTGAGTATGTACTGCTTCTACATTGTAATTGTAGTAGCTTTAAAAATGGGGTTTTGTTATGTGCTCGTAGCAGCAGTAGAGTAAAATACTATGTAGTTATGTGCTTTTGGAGCTCTTGATATGTAGATACCTAATTTATGCTAGTAGTACCTAATTGAAGTAGCAGTTTTTATGTGAAAGTAGCTATTTCCATTGTTCGTTCTAGTTATAAAAGAATAAAAGGGATTTTAAGATCAAATAATTAAGAATGATACTATACATATTAATCTAGAAAAAATATATTTTCAATTATTAAATTAAGTAAATATGTATTGCCTTATATAATTTGGTTGATCTAATAATACCAAAAAAGTAGTTAGATTTGCTAGGTAGTTTTATAAGTCTGCAAATTAGTAACTGGGAGAGTTTCAAAGGATTCTAAACAAACTTAAGAAAAGAATTACTAAAACTTAGTTATATTATATATAAAATAAATATCCTGATTTAAGGATACTGGTACATAGATTAGACTTACATCATAAGCAAAATACACAGGCATTACTTTTTACAATGCATGCTTACTAAAGTATGCTAAGTGCCTTCTTTGCTCCAAAATACTAATATTATCATTTAAGCCTAGCATAGTGTTCCTAGATACCTTATTGTACTTCTATTTACATTACTGGTGTTTATAGGGAATAGTTTCTGCTGCATCTGTTCCTTTTAAACACCCAAAAGATTTATGCCTTCTTATAACTAAGGCAGACTATGTTGTAGCATTCAAGTAACACTTGGTTTAATCTAAGTAACACCATTGGCATAAGCAAAAGAAGGTGACTACATATCATACTATCTAAATAGATTTATGTCTTGTCAAGTGGATTCATAGGGGAGTCAGATTCAGAAGTAGTTTCCTTCTCATGCATGTCTTGAAAAAGAGTTGTTTTCACCTTCTTCTTAGCAGGGGTGTCATTAGCAGTGTTGTCTGGTTGAATAGCAAACGCAATGGCTTCCTTGCTCTTTGGTGGGTTTCGTTTGCGAGAAAGCTGAAACCAAGTTGGAAGTGCTTCCTTTGGAGGAGTATGTAACTCAGGAAGCTTGAGAGGTTCCACAGGTGGCTCAGACATCAGAAACATGTCAGTGTCAAATCCTGGGAGGCTAACTCCATTTCATGCAATTGAGTTAGTTTAACCAATTTTGCATCATTGTTTGTTGCAGGAATTTTAGATTCAGCAGAGACTTTGTCAAACTCAATGACCAAAGGCTTCTTACCATGTGCTATTTTTTCAAGCATTAGCTCTTTTTGCATTTTCCTTTGTTGTTCAGATGAGTGAGGTTCTATTAGATCTGTAACCATTTCAGATGGCGATGATACGACAGTGGTCTATGGTGCTTCATCTTCAACCTCAACAGATTTCAGAGTCCATATGAGGACATTGTTCATTGACAACTCTTTTGTGGGTCCCACCTTGATCAAGAATGGCTTGGTGGAAAGTATCTCCTGTATAGCTGCAAATGCTTCAAGATTCACCTGGAACATATATACGATACATATTTAATATGAGTGTAAGACTGATTCAAACCACATTATGTACATATCATGGAAATTAATAATTAGAATTGTATAAAGAAGTTATTTGCATGTAATGTGCATTATAGCAGGTTTGGTAATGCTTACGATAACAAATTGTACATTACACTAACTTAAAGGATTGTAATGGAAGTTATTCAAAAAATAAATGAACATAAAAAGGGCATTTAGGCTAAGAATAAAGGTTGAAACAAGTAATATGCATCATGGGATGTTATACTTAGTTAATAATTTCTTACAGTATTATTATGTTACATATTTCATATGTATTAAGAATTGCATACATAATTTAAGTGCAAGTAATGATGTATTGTGATAGGGTTAGACATGCATACAATAACAGAATCTACTTTACATTAATTCAGAGGATTGAAATTGAAGCCATCTTAAAAATGAGTGAATATGAAAAGGGTGTTTCGAAACAGAACAAAGATCAAAACAAGCAATATTCACCATAGAATGTAACACTAAGTTAAGGATCTCTTACAGTATTCTTGATGCTACAGATCTCAGCTGCTGATTTTCTGAAAAGTTTCTCTGTGTCGTCATTGAATGTGGTAAATGACATAGTACCAGTGTTATCCACTACTTCGAACTTGAATGTGATTCTGTTAAACATGAATCCTATTTAATTATTACTGCTTGTAAGTATATATGTTTAAGACTATGGCTAGGTGTATGTGTGAATTACTTGTGAGCAGAGGTAGTGTCTCCATTTTTTGCAAGTTGTGCATCGAAAGCGAGCTCCCACAGGAAGTTTTGTGCGCTTTGAGCATTCAATGCAGCCAACATATGCATAAATCTTGCTTAGCTCGGCATTTGGTATTGTGACTTGTATCCATGCTATTTCTTCCTGTATGGTATTAGATGGCTAAATGTACACCAAAAGCATTGTATTAGTAATAATTGTAAGATAGCTAGATATTAAATGC